GTATGTTTTTTGAAGCGGTGTAATGATGTGTTGAAAAATTGATTGAATGCCATTCCATAATATAGGCTATAGAAATTTTATGGAATGGCTCGTAGGCAAACAAAATAATTGTTCATGACATGCGTCGACAAACACATGTACCAGCCAGTGTTTGGCTGAACTTCATTTACAGAAATGTAACTGTCTTCCCTTCAGGCCTTTCAAATTTATTGTTCGCAAAACAAATTTTGCTTTTCACATTTTCCTTCCATCGTGGCGAATTAATTCGACAACTTTTTGCCACAAATTAAATACAATTGCGTGTTTATGATGATTTGAATTTCCATCAAAATCAAATGGAAACCACATACAACTAGAAACCGTAACAGATCATTTTAGCGTATGCCAATTATATTAGAACAAACATTTCCAAGCGAAATGTTGATTTGAAGACACAATTATCCACGCAATTATGTTCAAACATCGAATTATCGGTGTGGAAAAGTTGAACGAATATTTTTAAATTAGTTTGAAATCGTCCATCGAACATGCCATCAAATGGAGAAATGTGTTTGTACAAGCAAAAGTTTTTGAAAAGTCAACATTCCATAGTATAATCAAGAATAGTGGCAATCAATTTGATCGTTAATCAAACGCCAATAGATTTTTGTGTAAAAAATGAATGATTCCAGTTGGTGTGCCGTCAAAATGTGACAGCATTTCAATGAAAGTTATTCCTTTTATCAACAAATCGTTTATCCAGCTATTTATTGCCATTTAATATGCTCTCAATTCAATGCAAGTGTGAAAGAGTCCATTTTTCAAGAATCATCCGAACCGTCAAGATGGTGACGCAAACATTGAAGTGGGTAAACAAAATGCGACCAAAAATGCGTTTGTGTATTTATCGATTAGCCCGGACCATCGATTTAATGTGCTTCTCACGCTCCGAGTAGATTCCGAGAAGTGTAGGTTACATTTACATTTTCATAAATGTCAGATACGTTGTGCGGATGTGACATTGCATCATATCACATGGTAAAAAGTATATGAGAGGAAAAAAAATAATAATCGTTTAAGTGATGTGGCTGCTTCTGTTTTCGTTGGCAAAAAAACGACCAGCGAATAGATATTGCTTATTGATAGCATAGTGTTTGATGACGTGCGCGATCGCGCATATACTTTTTAAGCACGTTTATCATGCCTTTCTGGCGCCTTTTCAACCTCACCAAACGACTTGGAAATAAAACCAAATCGACACATAAACACTCCATACTAAATGGTTTTATTTGACGTTCAACGTTCATTTTTTTTTTCGTTTCTTTTGTTTGGCTCAATTCAGTGTCGTTTGATTGGATGATGTGTGACATATGTTGTTACAATCAATAAATCAAGTTTCTATGTGCCGCATGGTCCGGCATGTTTTTTTTTCGTATGCCCGTGGAAAGAAAGTGTCGAAAAAAATCGACAACGAAATCAATTTGGTCGAGTGAATCGAACGTTTTGAAATCCCTTTTTAGGGATTGTACAATGTTAAAATGTGAAGGAAAAGCCCAGACTCAACATTATTAACCGTAAATATAAATCGTCTCCAATCGATCACATTATGCTCGTCGATGCGAAGTTGCGTTTCAATACGTTCGTAATCTTTCTCTCTCTTTTCGTTTGGGCATTTTTTTCCTTCTGCATTGGTTGAGCTCACTTAAAATCTTTCTTTTATTTTCAACGAATAAATGATGGCATAAACTTAATCCGATATATGAACTAAAGCCGATCTATGACATTAAACATATCAGTAGCTTGGATAAAGGACATCTACAACGATGACCGAATGAAGAGAGAAGTAAAATAGAAAGAATATCCGTCCGAGATGGATATATTTCTTTTACGATGGAAAAGACAAAAGTAGATGACCAAATAATAAATGATGTTCGGCATCGAAATCGAAATCGATCGACCGAGACATCAACTTCGATGGCGCACATGAGCGCACCACATTCATGTTCAGGATTATTTACACAAACACCATATAAGTAGACGTAATCGATAACAACATTTTCTCTACTTTTTTTTTAACAATTTAAAAATGTCAATGGAAAATCGAATGTGTCAGTTTGTATCCCGTTCGGGTGATAAAATACATGATATTTTATCGTCGAAGCTACAAACTAACTTTCAATATAAACTTTTTACACATTTCTATTCTAATCGAAGCGCGAAGATTTATAGACTTTCAAATTGTTTCAATTTTATTTGTTTAAAAATAAACGCTCGTATTTCCTAATCCATTTCCATACGCTGTTAATTTCATTCAACAAAGCACGTTGCATTCAAATACATAGAAAATACGATGTAATCAAAAACCAATTAAAATGCAAAGAGCTATAATAAATGCGTCAACTCAAGACGTTAACTGGATTAATTGCATAATGAAGTAGCTTATCTAATCATAAAATTGTCGAGCGTTTGTAGTTTCTTATTTAATTATCAGTGTTTAGCACAATATTTTCTATGCGCATAGAATGCGGTCTAGAGTTAAATGGCAGAAGGGAAAAAAACAATATCGCTTTATTACCAGTTTTCGTGTAAACGCTTTTGATTAGATGCTTGCAAAACATGCGTCAACTTTGATTTTATCGTAAGAGGAAAAGAATTTCCATTTTTGAATGCTTATTAAAATGCATGCCATCCAATTAGGGTTGGACGCAACGAACTACGCCATATTTTGCAAAAGCTCAATGTCCACATGAGTCACACTGTTTGAGAACATGAAGTGAGCCGGACGCCGTTTCTGCATTTCTTTCAATTCTGATTGTTCATTCAACTTACGGCGGGCTAATAACACAATCTCACAACTTTTTTATACTTCCTGGCAGCTTTAACTTTGCCACTGTTTAAGTAGGTTTTTGGTTAACAGAATTCTGTTATATTTAAATATAATGGCCAATTAACTTTTATTATTCCTCCTTTTTGAGAATGTACGGTGCTCGTGAACACACACCACTCGACCAAATTTCCTTGCTCAAGGAAAAATTACCATTTGCATTGCTCCACGTGTAGCGGGTTAGTATCAAATACTCATTTTTCACGAAACTTTAATGAAATGTTGGTGCATTTTTATGCAACAAAATGAACTTTATAGTTTGCATTCGTTCCGCTTTTTTTGTTCTATCTCAAAAAGTAAGTTGTTCAAGCGGTTTTTTTATGCTCCCTCTGTCAGTTACACAATTTCAATCGTGAATATAGGTTAATTGTACTTGAAATGCTTCATGTAACACTGAAAAATGCTTCATGTACACCTTGCATGGTATGGCGCGCGCACACAACGTCATTGTGTGACACAAAGTGGAATGGCATTTTTTTTGTTCTCATTTTTATGCAAGTGCATAAATTGATTTTTCCGACTAACTTTATTACATTTCTCTCTATTTTTTGCATGCACACAGAGACAATATGGGAATGGCACGAACCATTCCTAATTGTTTGCAAACTTGTTTATGGTCAAAATATTTAATCAGAACGTTATCAAGTTTGGCTGTTTGACTCGAACAAATATTGGAATAAGTGCGCTATTGTTTGACAAACAATGACAAAAGAACCGAAGAGAATAATAAAAAAAGACAATTGAAAAGAAGTGAATAATATTGAAGATGAAAAGAAGCGAGAAAAAATTGTTATTTATATAGCTTACTTTAAATCATTTCTTCTCTTGTGATTTCATAAAGTGGGTCGATCTTTTCGTCACAAAATCACGAACACATTTCAATGGAAAAACTTGCAACAGAAACATTTAACTTTACAAAGCGGAACAGTGTTGTAAAATTTTTGAAACAGAGAAAATTCGCAACTTTATTTTCGATATGAGAACAATGAGCCGCAATTTTACGACTCCGTATGGGTATTTATTGTGTGGTGCTTGACTTGAATGGTCAATAAAAATGTTGAATATTTAATGAGTGCAAATAAATTGTCGTTCATTTTACCATATTTTCGTTTTGGTGAGTTTATCGTTTTAAGTTGCATGTGCGCGCCCATTTTTTGATTCGCTCACATATGTGAAGCCAATTGTCAACTTGAGCGTGAGTGTGTGGCGCACAATAAAAATACTGGATTCGTTCCACATTCTCAAATCAAATTGGCAAACACAAACCGAGTCGCAAATTGGAAACGCAAACAATGCCAACGAGACATTCCTTTATTATTAGTTTTGAAATGCATGACAATGCCGGAAACATTGCCAACTGGCCAATAATATTTTGGTCGTTGCCGAGGTTCTCTCATTCGTTCTCTTTGGTTATTTTTTTTCTCATTCTGTTCTTTATTTGTATCTAGAATGTTTGCCATGTCGATATTTGTTCAACAGATTTTGTGTGAGAAAGCGAGTGAGATCGCACACGTTTCGTTCGGGGTGCCAAAGCATTTTACTTTGCATATTTTATTTGATTAAATTTGCATTTTTATTAGGTCGAACTGTTGGTGGTGCAGCCGGAGTGCACAAACAAAAAAAACACTTCCAAGTTGGTGGATATGTGAAAAAAAGGCTGAAGCCACAACGAGAATCAAGTGACAATGTGAAAAGTAAAAAAAACGGACACAAAAAATGGATACGGAAAAGGTTTTTGAGCTTGAAATGGTATGATTTTTTTCTATTCTTCGGTCGAAAATACACCTGAGACAGTGCAGTCTATACTACACGGCTTATGTAATGTTTGATCTTTCGCTGCTTGTATAAATCATCTTTGTAATCATAAATCCGACGCCGTTTGAATGCATAACACCATGGAATCGAGGTTAAGTTTCCGGTGCACCAGAGAGTCGTGTTACTACCTCATATTTTCAATTTCGATTTCATGATTCGTTCGCTCACATTTTTTTTTGCTGCATCCTTATTTTATACTTCAAACACCCACGGTGACTGAAGGTGGAAAAGGAAATCGTGGCACGGTTTCAACTGTACTCGTTATCTCAAGATTCGTTCGCGCGTACGTGTATTTATTGAAATGATAAATTGTGATTCTTACCTGCAACTTGCAATGTTGCATTTCTACTTCGTACTGAACCTAATTGATTTCGAGCTTCACAGAAATACACACCGCCATCGCTTTCACGTCGTGAATGTACCACCTGAAAATTGAGAAAACCAGAAAGAAAATCGAATTAGTGCTTATTTGTTGTGAAAAAGAATTATTTCTAAAAAAATAACGAGAACGAGAGGTAGATAGGGCGGAAGAGAGGAAAGAGAGGAAAAAGAAAATGAAATGATTAAGAACAGAGATGATTATTGGAAAAAAGCTGTAATTTTATTTGATACATGGAATTTTTTAATTGCTATTAATTATTTCACTGTACATTTCATCGTATTGTGTGTTCGAAGGTGTGTGGTTGGGCGATGCTCATTATGAAATACCGTCGATTCGATACAGAATGAGATTGAAAAGTGGGAAAATGGTGTTGGTTGCGATTTATTGTTTGCTTCAATAATAATAAAAATTAAGAAGACACATAATGCCATTATAAGTTTTATAACAGAAAGCGCTCACATGGTAACAATGTTTCAATGGGAATTTCACCGAAGCGCACCTGCCACACATATCATATTAAGTTTGCAAGTGTGTTGCCGCCATCAGCATGCACTGCATATGTGTGTAGGTTGCATTGGGGTGGTACGATGTATGAAGAAAACATTTTTCCATCGACAACGAGCAAACAATAAATCATCGAACTGGGATCGTTATCTATTCGACGGATTCGAAGAAAGCTTTTAAGTGGCATTAACGCTCTTTGCTCATTGTTCCCCATCACTTCTCTTTCGACTTTTAAGCCATAAAAATAATAAGTTTTTTTTTCTTTTTCATATACGGTTCCAAGTAAAATAGCACACATTAAATTGGATGCTTTCTCTCTCTCTCTTTCTTTCTTCCCAATGCAAACGGAGTGTACTTGAAGCGCGCACTTGAAAATGCGCATCTCTGCCGTATCGAGTGATTGAACAATGTTGAAGTGAGGCATTTGATAAACAAAATCAATGAGCTGATGCACCCGGAAAAAAACTGCAAATAGAGAGCATAAAATGTGCTTTTTTACTTCGAATGATCTCTTCTTTCTCCGTATTGATTCATTCAATGCACGAGTGTGCATTGAGTGCACAAAAAGGTTGTATTCTTTCTCTCGCTCGACCGCCGAACTTCGGGAAAGCGATTATAAAAACTAACCTCAACATTTATTAAATAACATTATTTACATTGTGCTGCAGATTATGCAAAGATTGAACTGAATGCCATAATAGCAGCAGCAACAACAACAGCATTAACGGAAAATTAATTTAGTTGCTCTCTTTGAGAGTCTATCAAAAGAAATTTATCAAGAATTTAATATTCGAATGTGCACGAGATAGAGAAAAAAATGGATTCTTCTCAATGGAGCCATTTCAATGATGTTGTTTGGTACGCTCAAGAGATAGAGAGAAAGAAGATGGACGAAAAATAAGGAAATTCTAAGAGATAAAATAATAGTTGGAATAATTTAGCGCTTATAAAAAAATTACTTCGTACAAAAGCGAACAATCGAATGTTCAAACAAGCTAGTGTACAAGCTCTTTAGAATGTTTTACAAATATTATTTTATCATAGTCTTTCAACAGAAGCTTCAATTTTTCTCTAATGCATTCCATTCACGGAGATGGCAGAAAAAAACCCGAACAAATCGGATCGAGAACATCGACAGAGAATGTCGAGAATAAAAACAATTTAATTAAAAAATATTTCAACAGGTCTTTGTCATTCGCGTTTTCTATTTTCACATTCAAAAAATCTGCACGATAGCATCAGCTCTTATTCAGCGAATTGTTTATATTGAAAATGTGCGGGGATAATTTTTTTTTCAGTTTTTCAATTTGATAGTTTCGAGTGCAACGAATGAAAATAGAAAAGAAAGTTTCCGGGTTGGAGAAATATTGTTTTTAATAAAAATGTCTCTCTTTGAACTTTCATGCCAATTTAATACTGAATTCCATTTTCTTCTTTTTTTATCATCTACTTGCCACGCTGTTTCGTAACCCTTTCATTCCAGCAAGAGGCACACAAAAGACGAACTATTTTCTACATTGTGAAAATATGAGAGTTTTTTCAGGTGCGCAATGAGATATTCAATTCCTCTCTTTTCCCATCTCTCTCTTTCTCTCTATCTCTCTCTCTCTTGGCCTTTCTATTTTCCATCATTGCAGAGGGATTCACATGAATGCAGTTCGAAGGATTTAATGTAATAAATCATTAAAAGTTAAAAATATCTCGTCTCCGCATGAGCCCTCCATAACGATGAGGATTATATGAGAAAATGGGAACATTTTTCGAAAACGAATTCAACATTTTTCGAAATAGTGAATTGTGTGTCTTTTCCACCGTTCACATTCACAATGCAAAACTACGCTGGAATTTTTATTAGAAGATTGATATTAAAGTTGCGTTTTGAATGTGGAAGGAAAAAATGACCGAAAGTGGCAGAATTCTATGCTTAAAATTATTTTTCTTTGCGGTGAACATTAACAAAGAAACTGCAAAATCTGAAAAAAAGACAGTTTAAAGGATGACATGTGTTTGGGAATTCATGGAATTAAAAGGAAATCCGATGGCTGTTTATTTTGAAAGAGGACTGTCAAGATGGATATTACATGCGATTGGCATTGACAAAGGTAGTAACATCAAGAATTTGCAAGGTTTTGCAATTTAATTGTTGCCATCGTTCATCCCCATTTGTGATTTCGCATTTGAAACTTGTCAAAAAGGAAAATGTATTCATACAATAATAATAATAATCCACGTGTGTATAGTGTGTTGAAGAGTGAACGGTGAATTTGCACGTTTAATGATAATGACAAAACAAAAGTTATTATGAGTTTGAATGGAGACGAGAGGCGGATAGAGAAGTTTGAAATATATTCAAAATATAAGTTGGCTACAAAACCAGCATCAAACGTATGTTCACCAAAATAGAACAGCGGTAATAAAATTACGATTTCATTTGTGTGTGTGTATGCAGCAATAACGATGCTACAGCATCGATTCAAGACATTGTGCAGTTTGTTTGTGTGTATTTAAAATGATATGTGAATTACAATTCACATTTACAATGTTGTTGCGAGCATTATTGTTTTGTGTTGTGGTGGTAAAAGTAAGAGAGAAGTTGTGAACCCACATGTGAATAAATTTTGGGCACGGATCATGAGCGGCAAATTGGTGCTGGCTGTGCACACACACACACATACGAAACACATTTGCATATATAAGCGCTTCATCACAAGAGGGTGATATTATACACTTTGGATAAATGTGTGTACAGGCAGTTTTATAACAAAAACGTCACATATTATTACGGGTAATTTTCGGAGAAAATTCATTTCACTGCGACCGAAAAAACCGCACAACCAATGAATACTTGTGTTCCAACAAAGTCAGTTTTGAATTGGGCCACACGCGCTCTATGGCTGATTTTTTTTTTCTTGTGAATTGAAATATACGAGAGGAAAAATTCATTTGACTCTATCGCAAAAATACCAGGACACAGAGTTCTCTTTCACGTGTGCATGGTACATTAAGTTTATTTTCATATTCAAGCTGCGGTCTCGTACCTATGACAACTTAAACACACTCATTTGACTTCATCGCACACATTTGGAATACGCAGTGAAAAAGATATGAAATTAAAGCGAAACAGAGAGAAAGAGAGCGAGGAGCAAACATAAAGAAATTCAAAACCGTAAGCTTTTTTGGCTCTTTCATACATTTGGTTACATTGTCGACTCTGTTTAACCCCTATGGTTTTGCTAATATTTTCAAATTTTCCATGAACAACAATATTACCACAAAAAACGTATACACATGTAGGTACATCTAAATTTTGCGAATACAATGTGTGCATCTGGGAGAGTGAACAAGTTCACGTTAGTAATTCAACACTATAATAGCCAAAAAGTGGCGTAGCACACAAGCAAAAGTCTCTTGCTTCTCGAAAACTCTTTAGCCGAATGCGATAAACCAGTAAAATGTACAAAAAGACTGAGAGAAAGAGATATGAATTTTGCCCGTAACAACAAAATTGAACAACTATATCTTTAACTACGAGCACTTTGTCAGTGAAATCATTGCAAAGTATCATTTGCAATGTTGGAGTTCGTTTTTTTCTCTATCTATCTATCTAACTGTCTGTCTTTCTTCGTTTGCACCAACATGGAAAATCACAAGTGAATTTCCCAAACTGCCGCCGAAATATGAGCAATATTCTTCTCTTATGAGCATTTCACTTGGATTTTGCCATTTTGACATAGTTTTCTTTTGATAGAAAAAAGATAGTGAACAAGAAAAGAGAGTATGGAAGAGACACAATGTTATCAGTTGTTTCGTAACTGGATTCATTGTAGACTTTTTGCGCACGAAAAATCACATGAAAACCATACACTCTTATTCGATTTTCTTCAAATGTCAAGAATAAAACCAGATGCAATCATTTTCATGTGAAATGTGTGCAAAGACCGACTCGACAAAATGCTACAAAGAATGTGTCAGTCGCAAGATTTTTCACGTACGGCAACCAACTTAAGCCATTGTCATTGGCGACAAACATGATTTTTTTGATTTTCGATGGAACATTTGCTTTAGGCTTTTTATCCATGTGCTTGAAGACGTGCTTCAATGAGTATGAACCAGAACTAACTTCCGTCCATCTTTTTAAATGAAAAGCGAATGATTGTGACTTTCTTTCGTCCATTGCTAGAATTTCATTCAAACAGTTTGCTTTTGCCGTTAAACATATTTGAGAAGAATTTATGTGTGTCCGGGGTATGGGAAATTTCGTGGTGACACGGTAAAAACATGATGGAACACAATTTTCAACATTCATTTTAAGAATTCCTTTTTCACTCCATTCACCAAAAATGTTTTATATAAATTCCTTATGTTGTGTTAAATGCGATTACAAGTCAGACTTCTCTCTCTTGCTCGTTTTTTTTTTTATATCTATATTTCTCTCGGTTCGTTTGACGATGCGATAAAGTGGCGTGCAACAGCCATTTGTCGTATCGTTTTTAATGTGATAACTTTTATTGTAATAAAACAAACAATTCAAATGCGCGCATCCTTTAAATTGCTGTCACATACAAATGATATAAGTGACATATGCTACATATATGATGATAATATGAACTTTGAAAAGGGCAATTTTCAAGCTAATGAATGTCTTAATTTATGTCATAAACCGAAGATAGTTGTGCGGTTAAGCGACTGAAACATATCAACTAATAAATTCAAAGAGATTGCTGTTCTTACCTTTAGGAAAAAGAGACCGCCAGCTGGAAGAATCATACGATGAACTCCTGGTTCGATTTTAAGCGGTTCGCCGTCTTTGTACCATGTGATTGTTGGTGTTGGTACGCCATCTGCTTTGCAATTTAGCGTAACCGGCTCATATCGAGGCACCAACACATCAAGCGGATGCTCTGTTATTTTCGGATAATCCAAACCTGTGTAAGGGAGAGAAAAAGAAAAGGAACAATGATAAGAATGCGTTAATTTGTCTTGTATTGTTTTATGCTTTTAAACAAAAAATGGGTAATCTCCTTAACGAACACAATGGAGATTCCATTGTGTGCGCGCTCAAAAAGAATGAGCGCAAACGATCGAAAGCATTTCACTGAACGAGCTCATCACAAAACCATTAATAATTAATAAATTAATCACAGACAATGTTTCGAATACGTTGCGAATAATGACACTTTGTACATTCACATGAAATATAGATTAGGTTTGATTTGATTCTGTGATTCCGTGCTTTTGTATCGAGATTATCTGCTTAAAATCTCAGCCTGTTTGCTGCTTTTGTTTAGAACAACAGCACCGGAAACAATTCACTAAAACATTTGTCTAATCATCTTTTCACGAGAAATGTCTCGTTAATGTTTTGGAGATAAATCTTTTGTTTGAAAACATTCAAACATCGAATGGCATGGACTCACTTTCGCCATGTCATATTTGCTCTTCTTCGTTGATGTTTTTTTGCGAATATCCGTAATTCGGGATATTCGAATGATATCCGCTTACTGAAACAGTAGACATGAAAGTAGATCCGGTCTTACATGAAAATCTCCCCTCCCCCCACTAGGAAACTGTCCATGTTTATTTTCGCCATTGTAATCGAAAAGTTAATTGCATTTTTGCAGTTGATTGGATTTTTTGGCCAACAACCCTTTGACAAACATCGTATATCTATTGAAAGTTCACCAGCCGAATGATGTTCGATTGAGAATGACGTTGCTCATTCGATGTCCAAATAGTTATGAAGATTGTGATAATACATAAAATATGTATACTAATCGAAATTGGCTGTTGCCCTTTTTCGTATTTGGTTTAATTCAATTTATTCTAGATGACTGCTATTGGAAAAGTTTTGATCCATCTAACGCATAATATAATAAAATAACACTCTGTGTGAACGTACACACTTTGCTCAGAGGCATATTATGATGATGAGCATCGGAAGGCGATTTGAAAGACACACAAAAAGGGGTTTGAGAAATGGTTCAATTCAATTTTCACTGTTATCACAAATTGAATAGAATTTTGTATACCATCGAAGTTACATTTTATTGCGAGATGCGTAAAAACCACTGACGATGAAATATTTTAATTTGCTTGGATAATATTTTATGCCAAGATGATTTTCAAATGCGTATTTCCTGGCGGCGAACATTTTTGGCCCCAAAAATTATGAATTTTAATGGAACGCAATTCAACAGCATCTGCGCCACTTTACATGAGAACACTATCAAAAGTAATTAAAATGATTTGAATTGTTGAAAATTTGTGATGTGGAAATATGTATGTATGTTGAAATGGAAATTGTTTCGATCGAGTCGGGTTTTCTAATCGGTTGAATTGTGAGAACAAGTGGCAAAAGATCAAGAACTAAGACCAAGATGTATGGTGTCAATATTAACAAACGCACGTGCAAACAAAAATGTGTTCACCTTCAACTTTTAACCACTTTTCACCTTGGCATTAACAAAAACAATGGTGGTTTTTGCGTTTGCAAAATAGTACACTTTTTCTGACATTTTACGTCAGAGTTGCTGTTGCGTTAGATTTTGGCAAACGAAGCATAGTGATAGCATGTGATCCAACACAGCTGGCATGGCATCAAGATAAGAAAAAATGAAATGCATTTCATCCCATTCACTCGTTTCAATACGACAGCGCACACAGATGTACTACAACTTTTTGTGTTAATTAGCATTTTCACGATATGCTTCCGAAAAACCAACTTTCAACGGCTCTTCTCATAAATACACAAACTATATCGCTGGTCTTTTTTTTTCTCTCATCATAATGTAAGTTTCCACTAGATTTATTTCCATCACATTAAATCCCGTGCAAGTTAAGGCGGTGTTTAAACCACTTTTCCATAGACAAACATATTTCACTTCTTGTTCTCATATTTATCTTTTTTTTTCGTACCGGTGCGCTTAGAATCACACGAATAGTTTGCTACTTATACCTTTAATTTATGGTACTCGAGCGCAACATTGCTAGAACAAACGAACAGATGATAGAGAAAAAAAATCATATTTTCATTTAATGAAGATGTAATACTGAAAAAGACACACGAACATGTTTTACCGAAAAACCCGCTGTTTTTCAGGTAAATTATTCATTTATTCATTTTAAATCATGGCAATGTACATGATATACTCGAATGTTTCTTATGCAATGTAACTCACTGAAAGCGGCAATGGCAGATAGGATGTTTTATATAGATATAAATAGGTTATTATAAGAAGCGTTAGTTTTCCATAATAATTTTTTAAATCCATTCAAGTTGTGAGGCGAGTGAGCGCGCTTTCATCATCATTTGCATTATAATAGAAAACATCGAGTCGAGAGATGTAATTCGGGAAAATGCTGCAAAACATCGAAGAAAAAAAAGCGCTTCGAATAGAAAAGAGCGTTAAACATTGCATTCATATTTTATAATGTTGCGTGGTTCTTTTCTTCACGCTTTAAAATGCAACAGCAGGCCGTAAAAAATACGGATGAGTGGCACTTTAACAACGGACTCCAAAACTCATTCTGTCCACTTTGCGGTCCCATCGGTTCGTTCGCTACATTTTCAATCTCTATTTACATACATAACGAGTTGTCGCGCTCTTTAATTAATAAACATTCAAAATGAATCGACGTTGGAATTCCCTATTTTTCATTTATTTATTGCGTGCACAACAAAAGTGGTTCCATCACGACGCGGTTGTGCGGTTCATTCCTCAATAAATTAAGATAATAAAAATCTAGGTGACTGCAATTGATAGAGATGAAACGGGTTGAACCATACAGTGGCCTCGAAAACAAACATAAAAATTAGAATGGAACGCGAAGAAGATCAAGCGAAACGATTTTCAGCGAGAACAAAAAGAAAAACAGTATGCCCCGAGAGAGATACAGCGACCATTACTCGAGAGAATACAATGGAATAATATAAATATGGACGAAGGAGAGATGAAAAAAAAATGCTCATTTCAATAAAAATTAAAGTGTGTGTATTTTGAGTGACATATCGAATCGAAATGTGTGCGTTTTAGGTGTGACCATATACGATGCAACACACTTTATGGAATCATAATAAAGTAATTTATGGCATTTTATTGTTTAGTATTTTCTATGTCCCTTTTCAACTTTCTTTCACACCACACGCACACAATCAGTTGTTGCTTGTTTTTATCCATTGGCTGCAGCTGAGTTTTTGGCTCTTGAATCGAATTTTTAATTCTTTTCTCTCTCTCTCTCTCTCTCTCTCTCTCTCTCTCTCTCGGTATTTGATTTGTATCTATCGTTTGTTTACTGTTTTATTTTCAATTTTTTCTTTTATTTTCATGTGGTTTATTTGCCTTTTTTCAGCTGACATTTTCTACAAGTTTTCATCATCGGTCACAGTTCGAATGCGGATTACATATTGATACAGACCACCCACAACCGCAAACGTAACTTGCCACATCACAATTAAGAAGCATCTCAATGATTTCTCAATCACAAAAAAAAATGAAATTCACGGAATTTCGTTGAAATAATAATGTACAATATTGATGTTGCAATTTCTTGAGAAGGAACAAACGGCAAATAATCAATTCCCTTGGACATCGATCGTCATAGTAATGTTTGTGAAATAAACAAACAAAAAAAAAACAAGTAACAACATACAATGATTTTTAGATAGGATATAGCTTGCGGATCTCCGCAAGATCTGGATCTCGCCGTGCGTCATAGCCGCATGCCGTATGATACATTCACGCGCATGCTGTACACATACGTTCTTCATTTCTTTGAGACGAACGCAATCCATTCGCGCGCCGATGTATTGTATGTTTTAGCGCATGCGCGAATGTGAAAAAGAGAAACGCAAAACGAAAGAGTGTGTATGAGTGTGTCGTTATTTTAAATAACGAAGAAGCATACAATAGCATTTGTCGTTGTTTGAACAACATACACTCATAACAACATACACTCATTGTAGTTCGCACGCAGACAAAATACGTCAGCTAATGAAAAGTGAGACTTAAGAAAAATAACATTTATTCGATTCATTTTTATTTTTATGGAACGAAATACAATGCATAATTTTGAAATAAAATGAGTTTAGCTCAAATGAATTTAGTTTCAATCAATCTACTTTACCTTTTATGAGTGCCACAATGCCATCTTCAACCGGCGCGTCTTTGATTTTCTGGAATGTGCATACGCCAATCAAAAGTGCTTTGAGAAACATGCAATCGAAGTCAATTCCCGGCTTATTTCGTATATTATAAAATACGTAGATTTTCCTTAAACGAAGTGTTAGCACACAATTCATAGTTGGCTTTGGTCTAGTGTTTATAAATTCTGTCCCGGAATGATAATAAATTTCAATTCGTCAATAAATAAAAATAAAAATGAATCGAATAAATTTATTATTTTAAATTACGACACACTCGTACACACTCTTTCGTTTTGCGTTTCTCTTTTTCACATTCGCGCATGCGCTTAAAACATACAATACATCGGCGCGCGAATGGATTGCGTTCGTCTCAAAGAAATGAAGAACGTATGTGTACAGCATGCGCGTGAATGTATCATACGGCATGCGGCAATGACGCACGGCGAGATCCAGATCTTGCGGAGATCCGCAAGCTATATCCTATCTAAAAATCATTGTATGAGTAACAAAAACAACGTCCAGGTAGAAAACGTCCTTTTTTTCTCTTTCTCCCGAAACAAGACCAAAGGTCGAGTTGATGTTGCTTAGATTTTGTCTATAATAAATGACGTTGCCAGCTATCGATTGAAATCAAGGCAAAAAAAAAAAACAAACTTAATTCAATTTGATGAATTTATATTTGTGGCAGCCGAACCGAGTAAAAGAAAAATCATTATCAATTTTAAGTATTTCCCGGTAGATAACAGCATAATTATTTATTGGTTTTTGGTCCTTTTTTGTCAT